TTTGTATAGCCATCATCATCCTTGTATATGACATCCATGACCCGAGCAAAGTTGAGAACTCGAGTCAGGATAGGCATAGGAAGAGCTGTTGGTTTCATGAACTCTTCATTGACATCTTTCCATGCATTGTCAATTTCTTCTCGAAAAACTTTCACTGTCTCTTCCTTTGAAACACCATATTGCTTCATATAGCATTCAATAGCAGATGCAACATGAACTCGTGATTGCTCGAACTGCATAAATTTTTACATGTCAATATAAATCTATCAAATCATTTATAGTCCTACCGACAGCTTTTATACAGGTTGAATTACATAAAATTAATCAAGATAAATTAACTATACATACTTAAGTAGAGCGTACCTCATGCAAGACAATATCATCCATGAGTCTACCTATAATTGCACAAGCTTTAACCATTTTAGGGTCATTAGAGATCCAATCAAAGGCTTCTTTGGATGCAATTTCTCCCATGCCAACAAGGGAATTTGTTATGAGCATTGGATATGCACAAGTTATGAGGGTTGTCTGCATATACTCTTCCAGGGGTGGAATGCAACCTTCTTTGCGCCACTTGGCTTCATCAAAGTAACCTTTCATTACTCGTTTCATCTATTCATGAAATTAATTTACACATGAAATTAATAAATAATCCAAAGTCCACATAACCTTAATTAATCTAGTCATATATGAATTAGTTACTTACGAACTCTTTTGCATAATCCACAGCATATGATCTTCCTTCTTTTCCAACCTCCACTTCCATTTCACTATAAACGTTTAAAAGTTCCTCATAAATCAATTTCATATATTCTGGAAGTTGATTTATAACACCAATGTCCCACCTAAAAGTTATAGATCAAAATTATATATTATATTTTTGAAATATGTGAATATATTCAAACAATTTGACTAAAATAATCATTAAAATTAAGAATGTAACCTTTCAATACACTTGGTCAAGAGATCGAGTTCTTCAATTGTCCCATAGTTGTCATAAGTATCATCCAAAATAGATGTCAAGCTTATTACTTTAGTCAAAAAAGTCCTTCCTAAGGAGTATTTGGGCTCGAAGTAAACTCCCAATATCCAAAAGTAGCACTCCAACGCTCTATCCCTTGCATAAAGCATCTTTGTTGTATAAAAATCCAATTTTTTCCTCCACCTAAAATACCAAGCCAAATTCAAAAGCCTAAGACAATATTTCTCCACCATTACAAGTTTATTTATTGCAAAAAGGAAAAAAAAAAAAAAACTTACTCCATAATGCCACTCAGCTCCTTTAGGTGGCACGCTTGTAGCACATTGAAATCAATCTTTGCAAATTTAAGCAGTGCTGCATTAGAGGAGACGAAGTGATCATCTCTTGAGTACAGAGAGATGTAATGCCTTGCTTCTATTCTTGGTAAGCCTTTCTGGATGGGGCGGTTCAAGGCATGAGATATTTGTTCTGCAAGCAAAGGGCTTACTTTTGTTGCCATCAATTCAAGGTGTGATGTAGTGAATGCAATGGCTTTGTCCAAGATATCCTCTCCACACACAAGAAGATGTGCAGCCTCATATAGATTCAACATTCCAAGCACATCATTCACTAAATCTTCCTTGAAATTTCCTTTCTCATCCATGAATTTCTTGAACATCTCTGCGCATATCAACAGCATGAGCACCTTCAGTTCAACTAATTAAATCATTTTATTATTAACTCATAACATATCTTTCAAAGATTAAGATAAGTATTGACCAGATGAAACTTTGATCCCTTGTTGTCTAAGTAACCGAAACCAAAGAGCAGCAATATACAAATTATATTCAATACTATCAGCACCACCAAGATATATCTTCTCTAAGGCATTTTCAATTTCAATCTCGAAATGATAAGAAATGCCTAAGCGTTGTACTGCATCAATCAAACAGAGTTTCTTTGAAGGATCAAAGGTGGCATCATCCAGCAACATCCTCCTTAATTGTTGCTTCAGTTCTTCATAATCTTGTTGAGTTCTGGCTTCAATTTTCTGCACATGTATTCCACAAACAGAACCTTAAATATGGACCACAGAAATTCAATTTTTCGCTACGTCTTGGTAAACCTTTTCGCAAAACTGTCTAGTGATGCTAAGAAGTAGTGAAAAGAGTATGTGCACCAAGAAATTGCAGTATGTAGGTAATTAAAACAAAACTGTCCTTTGGTGATATGATGTTGACATGCACATAACCCAGACAATCACCTCATGCATCCTGGCTTCCCCCCCCCCCCCCCCCCCCCCCCCAAAAAAAAAATCCCTCAAACAAACACCCTCATCTTGGCAACTTTTGAAATTAAAGAGTCTTTCTTTCTAAAACTATAATTTTTATATAAGTGTTACCTAACCAAAGCTTTATAAGAGTGTTGATCTAGGAATTTTATAATATGATTAATTACCATGAAGTTGAAGGAATGCTTGAGAAAATGATCCCTCCAAATGCAAGGATGGTAACTAGACGTAGAACGGTTATCTTTGCAAGTTGAATTTTGAGGAGAGGTAGGAACGGTCGAGGCTTGGGCTGACATTTTTCTTTTGTATGTGAGAAAGTTTGAAGTGGATAAATGTGAGAATGGGTCTACCTACATGAAGTTGAAGGCTTTTGGTGCGGGAAAGAGCTAGAGAGCATTGGTATTTATAGTATGTATATTGCCCTAGGGTTTCCCTTCGAGCAGTTGCAAAGGCAAGCTAATTTTTCTTTGCCCTATTTTCCCCTAACTTTGTGAAGATACATTTAAACCACACTTTGTGATGATGTGACATAATAGTTGTCAAGTATTACTGTGGTTTATGGTGGTGTGGTCCATATGAATGGCAATTGGCTAAAAATCCTAGAAATCGTTTGTACCATCGTCCACAACAACTTAAGGTCTTAAAAATTAAAATAATGATAAACAAGACTAAAACTTGGAATCAAAATTTGGGACTAATAACGTGATTTATTTCATGTTATTTAAAATATTAAAAGATGAATTTTATATTATTCAATAATTAATTCAATTTATTTTTTTTATACTCATAATGTTGTATGTATCAATTAATTTAATGATATGATGTCATGAATCACATCATTAGTCCCAAAAATTTCCCAAATTTAACACATAATTTTGGAGAATGGTTATTGCTAGGCAATAAATTGTAGAGGAACAGACAAAATTTTCAATTATATGTTTTAAAATATTGATTTTGTTTAGTTTGAGATTATAAATTATAATAATTTTTTGAGTATTTATTGTCAAGGTGTCTCCGACCAATTTTGTGAAATTTGAAATTAATCTCTCCCTAAAAGATCTTAAAGATAAACCCCCACATTAGTTTGATGCATTCAAGAAAATTAATTTTCCTAACATTGACCTCAAGAATTAAATTTAAAACTTGGTCTACAAGACGACATTTGCTTATTAATAAATTCAACCACAAGTTTGTAACTATTAATTAATAAATAAATAATAAAAATATTTGATATTTATTCTAGTAACTAAAAAATCTATATATATAATGCTACCCTATGCATTAAATAGGGTATGCAAAATATATATATAATTATTA